CTTCTTCTTCTTCTTCTTCTTCTTCTTCTTCTTCTTCTTCTTCTTCTCCTCCTCCTCCTCCTCCTCCTCCTCCTCCTCCTCCTCCTCCTTCTCCTCCTCCTCCTTCTCCTCCTTCTTCTTCTCTTCCTCCTCCTTCTCCTCCTTCATCTTCTCTCTTTCTCCTCCTCCTCCTCTTCTTCCTCCTCTTCATTTTGGTTTTCCTAGACAAGGTTTCTCTATATAACAGTCCTGGCTGTCCTGCAACTTGCTATGTAGCCCAGGCTGGCCTCGAACTCACAGAGATCTGCCTGCCTCTGCCTCCTGAGTGCTGGGATTAAAGGCGTGTGTCACTACTGCCTGACTCAACTATAACTTTCAAAGACCTGTCTCTGGGCATGCACCAGCCAGGCCCCCTTTTATAAAGGTCATGAAATGAATGAGATCAAATGCTAAAAACATGAACCTGTAGAGGACAGTCTCGATTTAAATTCTAACACTGACTTTAATATTTTTATTACATGTACATGCAGTTTGCCTCCATGTATGTATGTGCACCACAGGACTGCGGTGCCCAAAGAGGCCAGAAGGGGGCATCAGATTCCCTAGAACTAGAATTACAGATGGTTGCAAGCCATGGTGGGAGTGCTGGGAACTAAACTCTGGTTCTCTGCAATAACAGTACTCACCCTTAATTGCTGAACCATCCCTCCAGCTCCCTAACGGTGACTTTTTTTTTGTTTTAAAGCAGAATTCGAGTCCTTCTTTCTCAACTTTATAGCTGTTTCCTTCTGAAACCCGCCTGCACAGAGACATGCTTCTGAGGGTGCTGAGTGCTGGGTTTCATTTGCTAAGAAGGCTCTCATTTTGGACCTATTCTCCATAATCTGCAAACCTTGAGGTTCACTCAACCAACTGAACTGCCCTTCCATGCAAAAAGCTCTGGCCTGACTTCCCAAAGCCCGGAACCTCTAGATCTGGCAGGTGGGACCCATCTTGCTAGTTCCAGAGATGCAGTGTGGTGCACAAGAAAAAGGGCCAACTCTGAAATTTGGAGCTCTTTGAGTGTGTAAGTGCGCCACAAGTGGAAAGTCCTCTGCCTGATGACACGGGAACGGAACACGGCCAACACTCTGGCATGCTAAACATACTGCGCAAAATAATTTCAGACTATGTATAGGAAACACAAACAGATGCTGTGCTTGGACTTCGGTACCATCCCTGAGATGAGATCATTATGTGCATGGAAATATTCCCAAATTTGGGAGATTCCTAAACTCAAAGCAGTTCTGGTCCCATGCATTCGGATCGGGGATGCCCGTTGCAGAATCCATCAAAGTGAGCACCAAAGATTCTTATGTCTATTTTTTCCCCCTTCAAGGTGTTGGGGATTGAATCCAGGGTCTTGTGTGTGCTAGAAAAGCCCTGCCCTGGAGCTGCATTCCTGGCCCTGTGTGGCTGAGCAAATAGAATTTACATAGCAGTTTTCAAAAGAACAGGCTCCAATCCTGGCCCGACTTCTGGGCAGCAGAATTCTTGACTCCTTTAGGGCTTTTTTTATAAGGTGGAAATAGCCCTTATACCTGCATTATGGCTTATTGTGAATATTAAATAAGACCATGTGGGTCAAAAGTGCTTGGTCAATGATAAAAGCCTGTACCATTGGGTGGTTCCCATTGCCGACTCTTTATCCAGCCGCCTTCTGGAGCAGATTATTGGGCTAGTATGTGCTGTGGGTTTTGCCTCGAGACTTCCCTTGGAGAGCAGTGTTTATCTATTTTAAGGAGACCCTAGAGATAGCAGCCTGCTGCAGAAAAGCAAATGGAATAAGGATTTACCAGAAAGAGGAGGGCTGGCTGGAAGGGAACAGCTGGGGAGAGCTATCAATCCGGCTCGGCACCAGACGAACGCCAAGAGGGAGTCGCTAAATGCCTGGGAGAGAATCGTGACCAGAGAGAGCAGTGAGTTAAAAAAAAAAAAAATCACATCCTGCCAAGCAAACTGGGTCATATTCCTGATGGAGTTAGTCACTGCGCAGAGCCGAGCTGGGAAGGCTGTTTCAGGGCAGAAAGCAAAGGCTCGGCGGCTCGGCTGGCAGCGGCAGGAGCCCCCGGCTGTTGAGCAAAGACCCCTCGTGTGGCTGGCGTGTGGCATCTCATGGTGCTTTAGATTTGAACTTGATTATTTTTTTTAGCCCTAAACGCAATTAAAAACCACATTTTTCTTTGAATAGTTCACACACACACACACACACACACACACACACACACACACACACACAGAGTTTCCAAAAGGGAAATCTTAGAGAGAAGATACATTAAACCCAGATGGAAGAGCAGGAAGGCCATTCTTAGGCTTGTCCCTGGAATTCGCGTGGGAAGTGACAGCGGTCTGAACGGGGCCAAACTCCAGAGTGAACGCATGTGTACAGTCCGTTCAGTTTAGAAATCTTTAAGGTCACGGGCCCTGTCCTGTGGTGACAGGATCCTGTAACACGACTGGAGGCTGCTGAAATCAAAATTTAACGTGTGAGTCACTAGGAGAAAGTTAAAGCAGGGGGCGAGCTACCAGGAAGAAATAGTCTACAAGAGAAGGCTGAGGGGCGGAATTTTGAGTTTGTTCTCATTATAAAAAATTTTGGTACTTTTCTGCTATATATGTCTGCCAAGAAATGTGATCTGTTGGGAGAGAAGAGGAAATGTATTCCACATCTTGATGCTGTGGCTATAAAAAGCTGTTTCAACGACAGAAATTAGTCGGGTCTCTGTCAAGGTTGTAAATGAGGGTTTTACACTAGCCAATCAGGGTGAGAAAAAAAACCCTCTGAAAGCAGAGTCTAAAATTGTCTCCATATAGTTCCATTATCCCACAATGCCTGCCGTCCCCGCACCCTGCACCCCCATACCCCGGGTGTACCAGATTCCTTCTGTTGTAAGTCCCCTTCCCTAGGAGCTGTCCCCACCGAAGCAGGGGTTCTGAGAGCAGGATCTTGTGAGGAGACGCCTGGGAAGATAGAGCTGTCTGTCTCGTCACCTCAGAAGTGAGACACGCTGGAAGGCCTTGCAGGTGCAGGCACCTGACCCCAATCCTGAGATGCTGAATGAAGCCTGCTTCCGCTGCAGCCTTCCACCCTCTCCTTTCCCGACATCAACACTCAGTGGTCCTTTGTACCTCTCTGTGAGCACAGGAGTCTGAAGAAGCTTGCCGTTGCCTCTGGTGCTCACGTATTATTCCTTCCCTCTTTCTCCCAGGCTTTCAGGTGCATGTGAAGATGCAGCCCATCCCCAGTGTCCTCTGGACTGGAACTCCTGAGGGGATCGAGTCTATTTTCTATCTCTTGGCTTCGGGCTGATAGAGTTGGACTTCACTTTGTCTCCATCATTTACTAGCAGATTAGGTAACCTTGTATGTAAATGGTTGTAATCTTGTAATCCTTGCCTTGACGGCTGGCACCCAGTCTGGTTAGTATGCAGCAGTTGTGACTAGCCACTTACCCGTTTGTTTTGAGACAGGCTATGTAACCCAGGCTGTAGGCACCCTGCCTCAGCCTCCTAGGTGCTAGGATTCCAGGAACATGCCACCATGCCTGGCTGCCTACCATGATAGTGTTTTGTTCTTATTTTCCTTAAAGATTAATTTTCTTATCAACTTACATGTCTCCCCATGTATGTGTGCCCTCAGAGGCCAGAGGAGGGTGTCCCATCTTCTGGGGCTGGAGTTACCGACGATTACAAACCACCCAGTGAGCCTGCTGGGAACTGAACTCAGATCCTCTAGAAGAACAAGTGCTCTTAACCTCTGAGCCATCTCTCCAGCTCCTCTAACAGTTAGTGTGGGAACTTGATGGAAACCTTGGTGGCAAGTTAGCCCGATCTGCAGACGGCAGGAAACAAGAATGAAGAAGAGAGACCTGGGCTCCCCATAGGCTTGTCACGGTTGAAATTGGGGACATGAAGTCACATGCAGAACCTGTTAGATGGTTAGCAGTCTCCGGCCCACGGTGAGTTTTCTCCTTGTATGCAAGTGAAATGGACCATAACTTAATGAGAAAGGAATTTTCTAGAAAGGGATGGAATAGTTGTTAGCGACTGAAGAGCCAAGAAGAGGAGACGACCCTCTGCCCCACACAGGGCAACAGAACCGTTCCTCTTCAAGGGGTTTTGTTACACGGTTCTCCTGAGAATCCAGGGGGGCAGGGACCAGATAATCTAACTGGGTTGTATGGATTGTCATCTTTCAAGTGGAACCAGTCAGGGACAATCAGGAATCAATGGAATAAGGGATTGGTCTCCAGTAATTTCCCCAGAAGGGAAAACTGTGTTGACAACCCAAGGCAAACTATTCCTAGCAGAGGCCTAGTTCATCCTTCATTTCCCAGGATGCAACTCGATTCTGGGCAGTGGTTTCGGGGACTCTTCACTGTTTGAGGAGAAAGGTGTTCAAAGCAAGAGTTAACACGGTGACTGTTCGGAAGACATGACCCTTGAGAAATGAAAAAACTAAGATTCAGAAGAAGGACTGAGTTAACATGGCTGTCCCCAGATATTGTTAAGGCCTGGCTTGTATCTTGTAGGAAGGAGGAAAATCTTGTATCCAGGAAGTATAAAGTGAAACAGCCTGTGGTGGCTATGCTGCAGAGGCAGACTCAGGAAGGTCGCGAGTTCAAGGCCAGTCTGAGCTACACCTTCGTGGGCTCAGAGCTTAAGAGCACCGGCCACGCTTGCAGAGGACCCAGGTTCAGCTTCCAGTACCTACCCAATAACTCCAGTTCCAGGGGATCCGATGCCCACTTCTGGCCTCCACAGATACCAAGCACACACAAAGTACACATACATACATGCAGGCTAATACTCACCCACAAAGTAAAGATGAATAAATCAGAAGTGAAACTGTTTTTTTTTCTCCTTGCTAGAGTCTTCCAGGAAACAAGGTAAGGTGACTGTGAAGAGAGACATCAGTGTCTGGGTACTCGTGGCAGCAAGGACCACAGCATGCAGGATGCTAGAGCGGATGACCTAATGGCTTTCGGTGGTGACATGTATCACTCCCTGGGTGGCCACATCTGCCCAACAGCACTTTTCCATATGTGGAGTTCCAGATGTGGACAGTGTGAGGGGCTCCATAGTCCTGGTATGCCACGGGAAAGCCCTTATGAGGCGATGCTCCACTCAGAGGCCACTGTGGGGATGTGTTACATCGTCCAGCATCCTTCATGCTTCTTCCAGTGTAAACCACACCAACATCTTGTTTCTCGCTGAATAACAAATATGTTTTGAGTCCCTGGGGCTGTATCTACTCTTAGAAAGCTAGAGTACATACATTTATAAACATCGTATTGTATACCAAAAATACGTATCATTTTAAAAAAGGTTTATTTGTATTAGTTTTAAGTGTGTGTTCGTGGATGTGTGTGTACACATGTGGGAGGCTGTGCACATTATGCACAGAGGCCAGAAGAGAGTGCCAAATCCCTGAAGTTCTATGTAGCTATGAGCCCCTTGATATGGGTGCTGGGACCTGAACCTGTGCCCTTGGGAAGAGCAGAAAGTACTCTCAACTGTTGAGCCATCTCTCAAACCCCCAACATATATATCATATACTTTGTCACTTAGGAGAACAATAACAAGAGAGAGCTAGAAGAACACTGTGATTTGAATGTGTCCTGTCAGGGTCCGTGTTAGAAACTTCCCTCCTAAGTGCTTTGAGGAGAGACCTTTCATAGGGGTCAAGGCTGCAAGGGCTCCATCCCTGGGAGTGGGCGTGGTTAGCTCTTAAAGGGACCAGAGCATAAGGAATAACAGATACAGCAGGCAAAACACTGGTATAGATCAAAAAGGACATGCTCAAAGACCTTCATTGTGTCAAGGCTGGAAATGATTTGAGTGCTTAACCAGCAGAATGCCGGGATGGAATACCAGGCGGTTGTTTTAAAAGCTCAACCATTCTTCTGTACTGATGGGGATAAACCTCAAATTCATGCTGATGTGTGTGTGTGTGTGTGTGTGTGTGAGAGAGAGAGAGAGAGAGAGAGAGAGAGAGAGAGAGAGAGAGAGAAGGGGAAAGAGAGAGAGAATAGTAAGCAGTATGTGCAGTATAATTCCATTTATCCACCAGTAGAGATGCGAACATACGGCTCTATTGTTCAGTGTTTATTTAGAAAAGTATGTGCAAATGGAGGTCTCTGGCTAGGCTGATGGCCAGGGGAGGAAGGGGGTTGTGTAGGTGTGTATACATGTTAAGTTTTTTTTTTTAATTTCAAAATGTTAATCTATATATCACCTTTAAAACTTTGAAAAAGAAGACTTCCTAAATACTGATATGGGGTCCTCCTGGACCTCTCTCTCTCTTTGAGGTGGGATCCGCAAAGCCATTGCCCCCTCCAGAGTAGCTGGGGTCACAGACAAGTGTCACCATGCTCTGTTTCTTCTACTTTGTAAATTTAATTTTAGTTAAAACTCTTTTAGAATTATTTACTTTTTAAAAAAATGTATTTGGGTGTTTTGCCTGCATGTGTGTATATGTACAGGGCATTCAGTGTCTATACAGACCAAAAGAGGGCGCCAGATATCTTGGCACTAGAGATACAGTTGTGAGCTGCCATGTGGGTGCTGGGAACTGAACCTGGGTCCATCTGGAAGAGGAGCCAGCACTCTTAACCACCGAGTCATGTCTTAGTCCCTGGAAATACGGTGTTGGGACTGGAACCCAGAGCATATACCATTGATCCCCCCCACCCAGCAACTCCCAACTCTGCTATTCAGTGTAGCCTGGAACTCCTGGGCTCAAGGTTCCTCAGCCAGGACTTCAGCTGCCCCTGCCACCATTCAGTGGTGGCTCTCCCTCTTACATAGATGTTTTTTTCTCTAGTAGCATGAATTTAACGTTTCTACCCTGCACCCCTAAAGTGCCTCTTGTGGAAGTGAGACAAGTCAAGCTCTTTGGTTCTTGATTTCTTGACTGGTTCACCAGTTCTCCCTCCCTTGTCTGGATACACACACACACACACACACACACACACACACACACACACATATATATATATATATATATATATATTCATTTACTTATTTATTTGCATGTGTGTGTTCCCATCCAGGTATAATTTCACGTATGTGGAAGTCAGAGGACAGTGTGGTAGGGTCAGTTCTCTCTTCCCATTTTGTGATTGCAAGGGATCAAACTCAGGTTGTTTGTTAAGTCGGTCAGGGGCCTTTACCATCTCCGCAGCTCTCCCCTGACCACATTTGTCCCTAACAGCCACCACCCCAGATAGCAAGTGGTACTTCAGCAAAACTGAGGGTGTCCTTCATGAACCAAAGGAGAGAACAGCATGGGGCAGCGAGGGATAGGAGGGGTACAGGGGGGAGGAGGGATGTAGCTAAAAGGAAGGGGGTGCTGAGGTGGAGGGGGTCTTGGGGGTGGCATGGGCCGTGTGAGAAACTGCAGACCCAGCCTGCAGCCTCTAGTCTTGCTGCAAGCTCACTGCCCTGACTTGAGGCCTGCTGGCCCAACACAGCCTAGTTTGCTGAACTCAAAGAGATCAAGGAAATCTCTTGCAATCACCTGACTATCCCATACTTTCCCAGGCGTTTGACAAAGTAGGTTAAATTAGTTACACACCATAATCCAGGAGACAGCCAGGGACCATTTTTCTTATTTAAGTAGGAGATGACCTTGGCTTGCGAATATGAAGCTCTCCACTGGTCTTCTGGGGTCTTACAGTTTGGACCTGTTCACAGGGTGGGTGGGCAGAGGGACTGTCTCCTCTGAAGGGTGAGAGAACAGCTAAACAGCCCACCCCGGGGAAGCAGTCTCCTCATGACTGTGAGAGTAACGCCTGAACTAGGCCCAGGGCTGGAGCCTGGGATTCCTTCAAGGGTTGGGTCCCTTCAAGGCCGGGAACTCTGAGGGCAGCTGGGGTGTGAGAAGCTGAGGCTGGAAGCCCTCTGACCACCAAGGTTAAGGACTTTGTGTACCCAGATGCCTCCAGCAAGCCAGGTTAGCATGTTTTAACTCGGGTCTCAGCACGACCCGAGGCCTAACTACTCCACTGCTGTAGTTTCCCCTAATCTCACAGGGATAACAATCTAGTGGAGGCTTCATGAAGTGTTAGAAATCGGGCTAGGGAGGAAAGGGGCCTGGCAGAGGGCGGTGGACGGTTTCTGCAGGAAGTCGGCTTTGGTTGCAGAGAGCGGTGTTTAAAATACTTAACTGCTGGCCTGCGCAGTCTCAGATTTCCTGCTGAGCGTCGGGGGCTGCTTCCCGAGGCTCCCCTGCTGAGCCGCAGGCTGGATCTCCAGGTGCGCTGGGGAGGTGTGGGGCACTGGTGCTCACGCCAGACCGTGGAGAAGGATCCCCCACCAGCCCCTGCGACGTAAAAAGGTTGTTCTCCCAGGGGCACAACTGGTCCCCGCGTGGAGTTGGTCGTGGGAGCCTGGGGCAGCGGTTCCCCGGTGTGGAGCTCAGCTGGGCTCAGCATTCCGCCGTGCCTGCTCGCGCGGAGGAGCCTTCTCCTTTGTCACGCGGTTCCCAGACGCGGGTGTACATCCTTCGGTGGACAGAGCAGATGCCTCTCGGCTTGGAGGAATGCTGGAACCCCAGAACGGCCGACAGGTGTCTGCGGAGGAGGCTCCCCACCTGCTGGACCAGCCGCCAGCTTCCTTCCTCTCTCCAGGGCTGAGTCACTAGAGCATCTGCACGCTGCGGTTTCCACTTTCCCCCAAATGCATAGCTGTATGTCATCGGAGTCAGAAGCTAGGCTTCCCCTGATGCGGAGACCGAGGCTGAGGTGACATGCATTGCCCTGGAAGTTATAGGGTGACTAACCTGGTGGAGAAGCCCTTTGGTTCCCACAGCCTGAAAAGTCCCGTTCTGGTGAGGCTGGGAGTGGAAGAGATCACTTCATTATTTTTATTTTTATTTTTTTTAAAAAATTTTACTCCAAACACACAGAGGTAGCTTAAAAGTTCACATGTTAAATCTTTCTGAAAATCACAAGGCTGTGGCTTCCTGGCCCATTCGTACCTCCATCTAGACGCCCTCAGTGAACCGCTGTCTCTGATTTTAGTTGCAGTTCAAGTGTTTGCAGCCCTCGTTCCGAAACAATACATTTTAAAAGCTGTGCCATCAGAATCTTAATTTTAGAGATTCTTACTTGACTTGTTGCTATGGCAGTCAAGGAAAAGCTTTTCACCCTCCTCAGGCCTGCTTACTACTCAATTTCTGTATTTCTTCCTATCTTACCTGCCCTCCATCATGAGATTTAACCTAATTAACAAAAACCATTTTATGTGTATGCTTACATGGATGTAAGTGCATCATATGCCTGTACTACCTGTGGAGGCCAGAAGAGGGCATCGGATTCTGTGGAACTAGAGTTACTCATGGTTGTGAGCAGCCATGTGGGTGCTGGGAACGGAACCTGGGTCCCATGCGGGAACAGCCAGTGTTCTTAACCTGAATCCTCTCTCTAGTCCTTCAACAATATTTTGTGAGGAACTACAAAAGAATCAAAGTGCCCCTAATGAAACTCTGACAATTAATATTGTTAACTTGATAGGACCTAGAAGAACCTAGGACACCAGCTGCTGGACATGCCCTGGAAGGGTTGTTTAGATTAGATTGCGTGATGTGGAAAACACCTCACTTGTGGACAGCGGGTGCTGGCCTGAATGAAAGGGAGACCGCGAGCTGTGCCCTCTTCTCTCAAGTTGTCCTTTGTTGAGCATTCCGCTACAGCAGGGAGATAAGTAATTAATACTACAGGGCATTCTGACTTCTTAGATGCTAAAATAGAATCGTGAGCCAGGGCTTAGCACATCCGATAAAGTTCACTGCTCAGATTTGCATTTTGACTATGTAAGTATTATCTGTCTCCAGCTGGGACTGCATTTACACGCCTGGATATCTTTGCTGTTCTGACATTAATAATCACACATATACATCACACACATACTCTCTCTCTCACACACACACATACATACCATAACACATACATACACACCACATACACCACACACACACACACACCACACACACATACACACTCTCTCTTACACATGCCACATACCACACACACACACACA